GAGGGCGAGCTAAGATCTCCGGCAACTGGTTCACAGTATTTCTAGTTCGCGCGCACGAGCGTCGCCTGTTCGACGTACCGGCGCTCCAAGCTGGCCCAAGAGGCTTCCAGGATCGCCCCAACCCGGCCCAAGAGGCTTCCAATAGCGCCCAAAACGGCCCCAGATGGCCCCAAGACAGCCCCAGAGGCCTCCAATACGGCCGATCCTAAGACGGCTCCAAGAGAGGGATCCGAACGGACATGTCGAGCTCTAGGCGCAGAGAGGTCCCCTGGAGGCCCCAAGAGGCACCCAAACGGCCTCCAAGAGGCCACGAACGCGCAGGCAAACGCCTGCGATGGCACAATACGGGCCGGCGGAGTGAGCGAAGCGATTCAATACAATTAGCCTGGCGAAGGACCCAATCACATGCAGGTGTGGGTGCCGCAGATGTGAGTATCGACTTCGGTGGCGCTCCTTGGGACCACGAATCGTGTGAGGGGGTGCCGAAATAATAGGGCTGGGGCGGCGGCGGCGGCGGCGGCGGCGACCGCGAGCCTGGGCCGCGAAACGCGTGAGAAGTGTGCCGAAATGAGCGGCGGAGACGCATGCAAACTGCGCTACTGGATCTTAGGTACAGTGTGTGGGGTGTGCCGAGATGGGTGGCGCGGGCGCATGTGGGCATTGCCACAAGGGCCTCCAGTGGAGCCCCATATGTGAGAACGAAAATGTTGGGTGTTCCGAAATGGGTGGCGTGGGCGCATGTGAGCACCGCCACTGGGGCCTTCGGTGAACCTCCTTATGGGGCCACGAAGCGTGTGAGGGGTGTGCCGAGATGTGTGGCGGAGACGCGTGTGGGCACCGCCACTGGGGCCTTGGGTGGAGCCCCCTATGGTGTTGCGAATTGTGAGAGGGGGGTGCCGAAATGGGTGTCGGGGACGCATGTGGGCACCGCCACTGGGGCCTTCGGTGGAGGTCCCTATGGGGCCACGAGGCGTGCGAGAGGTGTGCCGACATGAGTGGCGAGGACGCATGTGGGAACCGCCATTGGGTTCTTCGGTGGAGCTGTCTGTTGGGCCACGAAAATTGTGAGGGGTGTGCGGGAATGCTTGTCGGGGACGCATGTGGGCACCGCCGCTGGGGCTTTTGGTGGAGCTCCCCATGGTGTTTGCGAAACTTGTGAGGGGTGCCGAAATTGGTGGCGGGGACGCATGTGGGTACCGCCATTGGGGCCTTGAGTGGAATTGTCTGTGGGGTCACGAAAAGTGTCAGGGGTGTGCGGAAATGGTTGTCGGGGACGCATGTTGGCACCGCCACTGGGGCCTTCGGTGGAGGCCCCTATGGAGTCACGAAGCGTGTGAAGGGTGTGCCGACATGGGTGGCGGGGACGCATGTGGGCACCGCCACTGGGGCTTTCGGTAGAGCTCCCTATGGGGCCACGAAGCGTTTGAGAGATGTGCCGAAATGGGATGGGCATTCGGAGAGCAGAGGCAGGGAGGGGAGGAGGGAGGAGGGGGAGGAGGAGAGGAGGTTGAGGAAGGAACGCGTGGCGCTGTCTTTTCAAAACGAGGACCCAGCACCGCAGGATGGTTGGGACAGCCGGGGCTCGACGTGTTTTGCGGAGGTTCGCAGAGGATCAGAAATCACAGCACTCATCGTAGATACTTCTCCCAAGGGAGTGGTGGATCGCTGGGGTCCGCTATCATTCATCTTTCAGTGTGGTGACCCCGCCTGCTTCTAGTCACCGTGTGTATAATATCACGCAGGAATGAGCACTATGCCCGAATCTCGAGACATGTTTTCCCAACTCCAAGAATATTCCGACGCTGCCCACCCACCTCAGCCCATTCCATTCCCACCATGCTCCTAGGCAGAGGTGCGGGAAGGAGAGATGGGAGGAGTTGGGAGAAAGCGGGAGGAGGCAGGGGCGGAGGAGGGGGGGGGGGCGGAGGAAGAAGGGGCAGGAGGAGGAGAAAGAACAGTGCATCCCAAGATGCATCATCGACGTTGCAGCAAACCCTCATCGAAGTTCTCTTTTCACAGGTCGCTGACAGAAGTTATTCAAGTGGCTTGCGCAATTCGCCGAATCCCACAAGGAGTGACTGTTTGAGACGATCGTGGAAGTTATATTTTGGGTCAGAAGATTCTTGTTTGCATATGAGAGACTTTTGGGGTTCTTCTCGGGGTCCTCTTGGATGGTTTCTCGGGGCATCTGGGATGCTTTTGGGGGGCCTGGCCTCGTGAAGGCCTCCGGGGGGCTTTTGGGGTGGAGGCCTCTTTGGGCCTCTTGGAGGGGGCTCGGGAGCCTCTGGGGGGCTCGAGGGGCCATGTTGGTGGGAAAGGCTCGAAATGTAAGGTCGTATTCCCCCTCTTGGGTTTTCTTGAGGCCCTCTTTGGACCCTCTTGGGGCCCTCCCAGGGGCTGTCTTGGGCCGTCTTGGGACGTCCCTGGGGTTGCACTTGGGCCCTCTTGGGCCGTCTTGAGGCCTTCTTGGAGGATGGACCGTCTTGGGACGATCTTGAGGGCCACTTGGGCCGTCGTGGTCGCTGTCAAAACGTATAGTGCGAATGCGCTGAACATGTACGCTTTTTTTCTCAGCGAATGGACTGATGTGGGCCACTTGGGGCTCTCTCGGCGATCCTCTGGAGGCGCTTTTGGGCTGTCTTGTGGGCCTCGTGGGCCATGTTGAAACCATCTGGGATCGTCGTGGGGCTCCGCTGGGCCGTCGTTTCGCTCTCTTCGACCGTCCTGGCGCTCTGTCTGAACCCTGTTGGGCTGTCTTGGGGCTCCTTCGGGGCTCCAGAAGCCCTGGGCCACCCCTTTGATGCGGTTTTGAGGGAGGTGGAAAGGGGGAGGGGAACAGCCAGTTGTTTCACACGCCTTTTCACTCTCGGCAAGCTGGGGTCGGCGGATTTTCACTTCGGGAAGTGGCCCATTCGAAGACAACCGTCTCAGAATCTGCAATCGTGCCCAAACACCGCTCCTGCGACTTCAACGTCGCGGATCGACCTAATTGTTGAGTCCTGACAATGCTGGATCGCGCCAGCACACCATTCTTGGAACTCCAACACCGCAAATCAATGTGTCTGCTGCGTCTTCACAGTTTGTCATCGTGCCAGAACGCCTGGGACTTCGACCATGCGAACCCTTGAACCTGCTGTAGATCTGTAAGATAAATGCGCGCGGCGCCAAGGCTAGAATCACATTTCAAAAAGGAGCCGCTTTCCATTCGTGGGACTGTTGTGAGCTTTTAAGACGGTTGTGCGCGGCGCTAAGACGAGAGCCACATTTTCAAAGCGGCCCGCCCTCCATCCGTGACGCTGTTGCAAGCTTTGAAGACGAATGTGCGCGGCGCTGGGGCGAGATCCACATTTTGAAAACGGCCCGCCCTCCATCTGTGAATTTTATGTAAACGTTTAAGACACATGTGCGAGGCGCTGGAACGAGAGCCACATTTTGAAAACAGCCCGCCCTCCACTCGTGTCGCTACTACATGTGACTAGTTCCAGAATCACAAAGGGCGAGGAAGTCTTAGGCGAAACGCCCGGCCCGCCCTGCCGATGCGTCCGGGGGTGCGACAGGGAGACTATTTAGAAGGAGAAGGGATTGAGGAGGAGGGAGAGGATGACAACGACAGCGACGACGAGGCTCCCTCCCCATAGCAACGACGCCCCCCCCCCCAAGGAGCAGCATCTTGCCAGCTCATCTCATACTAGTACTACTACGTGTTGGGACGGCCGCCAATATCATGGCGACGGGTCCCCTCACCGAGTCGACGCCGCTCCTTCTTCCTCAGGAGGCCCGTGTCGAGACTCCGCGGGAGACGGGGGCCCCTCCCAGAGGGCCGCAGGCTCAGAACTCAGGTTCAATCCCTCGTCCTCTCCGTCGCCGTCACCTTCCTCCTCAGCCTTGTCGTGTCCTCCTCCGTCTTCTCTTCCGCCTCGTGCTCTTCCTCGTCCTGGCCATCTCCTCATCGTCCATGCCGTCCTCGTCGTCCTGCTGCAGCTGCTGACCGCCGTTGAACCCACGGGTCCGCGAACGCAGCGGGGTTCCTCGTCGCCCGCTTCCTACTCCTCTTTTTGCGGTCTCCTCATCCCCCATGTCCTCCTCATCCTTGTTCTCCTCATCATTCCTCGTCATCGACCTCGTCCTCCTCCCTCCTCCTTCCTTCTTCACGGCTTCGGCCTCAGGTCACAGTGTACAGGCTCGACAGTAGTGCCATTCTCCCCCCCCTGCCCGAAGCACAGCGGACGGCTTGCTTGGCGGAGGCTGTGGAGGCTGGGGGCAAGGGGCAAGCGACCTTCGACCAAAAAGCAAACGACACCACCCCATCCACGGCACTCCATGTTGCGCCGCGGCCCGTCGGGGGCCGTAGCGTATACCACGACGACACCCACGCCAGATTTCTTGGTATACGCTGAGCACCGTGGGGCCGTGGGTGGGGTGGTGTCGTTTGTTTTCTGGAGCAGACTTCGGGAGAGGAGGGCCAGAGGGCGGGACGGGGAGGAGCGAGGGAGGGATACGAAAAAGGCCCTCCTCCACCCCTCTTGGCCCCGCCTCCTCTTCCGCTCGCTCGCTCGCTCCCCGCGCGCGTGGGTGCGCGTGCGCGGGCAGGAGGGGGAGAAGGCTGGGCATGAGAGGGGGGAGGAGGAAGAGGTGGAGGAGGAGGAGGAGGAGGAGGAGGACGAGGAGGACGAGCAGAGTAGGCGGAAGGAGGAGGAAGGAGGAGGAAGGAGGAGGAAGGAGGAGGGGTAGGATGAGGCCTATGCCAAGAGGACGTCTGCCTATAAGAGGCGTCAATCGGTTGGATTGGTCCGCAGATTCCACTGCCTCCGCTGTGGTTACCTTTTGCCTGAACCTCCTCCTAGGAGTCCCGGCGAACCCGCCTGCAGACAGCGTCCCCAACCGCCATCGACTCGGACTGTGGTCCAGATGCGTTCGACAAGAGGAGGCGTTCGAGCACGCCGGAGATCAAGTGGGCACTGCAGCAACCCCAGAAGCCCAAGAACTGGCAAGCCTGGGGCATGGAGAAGCTCGAGCAGGCTACGAGGTCTGGCTGTCTGAATTCTAAAAGCTTCGGTGTGGTCTGTAGACTTCTGGGCGCGTGCGTTGGAGGCCCATGTGATCGGGTCACCTGCTCGGATTCGGCTTCGCTGATGAAATTTGACGTGGGACCTGGTCCCATCTGATTGCGTACGTCTTGGCGCCCAAAGCCGCTAATGATGTAAAGATGTGTGGTTGTTCAGACTGTACCTTCTTGTCTGATAGTGTTCTTCCACTCGTTCGTGTTCGCGCGCATCATCGGCCCCCGCTCCTTCGCAATCGAAGTCTCCATCGTCCTCTGGTGTGCATGGCTTCTTTTCTAAGTGTTGCTTTTATTCCCTACCTAGGCTCTGCCTAGAAGGGTTCTTACTCTCTTTGCTTAAAGTGGCCGGGCAGTGGGAACCGGCCCGGGCGGTTCCCCCGGTATCTGCCCCGCGGTTCCCCCAGTTACGTCCCTTTAGCTTAGCGTTGCTTATCTCATCTTAGCTTAACTTATTCCATCTTAGCTTAGCTTAGCTTCATCTTAGCTCAGGCTGATGTTATATTAGCTTACCTTCATCTTAGCTTCGCTGAGTTTTAGCATAGCAGAGCACAGCATAGCATAGCATAGCGTAGCATAGCATAGCGCAGCACAGCATATCATAGCATAGCCCAGCATAGCTTAGCACAGCGCAGCATAGCATAGCATAGCACAGCATAGCGCAGCACAGCACAGCACAGCATAGCACAGCGCAGCATAGCATAGCATAGCAGAGCATAGTATAGCATAGCTTAGCACAGCACAGCGCAACATGCCATATCATAGCTTAGCATATCATGTCATGTAATATCATATCATAGCATAGCGCAGCATATCATAGCATAGCATATCATAACATAGCATATCGCATCATACCATGACATAGCATAGCATAGCATAGCATAGCATAGCAACTAATGCTGGTTTTCTAGGGGCTCCAACTTCTAAGTAGGGTCGCACTGGGGTAATATGTGTGTTCCCCGCGCCTATTCCCTCAATCATGAGCTCCCCCTTTTTTCTGTCAATGTGTCCGCAGCCCGCGGAGGGCGTATCTGCCGATACATGGGCGGCCTACTTTGGTCGGCATGGATGTGTTATGCTACTTCCCATGTTGGCTTGGTCTGCTCGTGACTGGTGTTGCCAGGGCTGGTCGGTTCTTGCGATTCCGCTGTGACCAGTGTTGTTCCATGTGATCTCGGCTGGTCCGCTGTGACCAGGCACTGGTAGGGCGGGCGAGGGGAAGAACAGCAGGAGGAAAGGGCGACAGAGCCGCACCAGAATCTGAGCATCCTGGCACCAGTATTGAAGCTACTACCAGACTCTTTGGGGTCTGCCTCGGCCGTTTCTTTGTACAATTCGTTTGCTGCGGGGCACATCGGAGATGGGAGCTCCCCCTGGGTGCCCCTAGGGAAAGTCGGAGTCTTTCGTTAGCTTCTCGGATGCCTCCTAGCGTCCCTTGGACGTATCGGGGTCGCGGCAGGCCGTCTTGGGGGTCCTCCGGTGGCCCAAAAGCATTCTGCGCTTCATGGAGCCTGTTGGACGCGTCTCGGGGCCCTTGAGGTCTCTTGGGAGCTTCTTGGGCCTTCTTGGGAGCATATTCTGCCGTCTTGAGAGCCTTGTGGAGGTCCTTCACGCCGTCTTGGGTGCATCTCGGCGGCGCCCCAGGCCGTATCAGGGACTCGTTGGAGGCCCCGTAGGGGCATCACGGCTGCCTTGGCGGCTTCTTAGACTGATTTCGGTGTATGTTGGAAGCGTCTTGGTGGAAGTTTGGGCCGTCTTGGGAGCGTATTTGGAACACGTGAGTGTTTTCGCTTTTGGAAGCAGTCGTTTCTTTGGGACCTTCTAGGAGGCAACGCAGGGCAAAGCAAACAAACAATATGAGTCTGCCCGTGGCAAATCAAAGTGGAAGCTCAACGGTCCACCGAAGTTTGGATTGTGGGTAGGGGCTTATCTTCATAGAATTGACAACCCTCTCCAACCGCCTACCAAACACAGGACCAGCGTGTCACGTCCCCGTCCTGGCCACGGTAAAGCAAGACAAGACGAGGCGGTCTCCAATATTGCAACTCAGATGACAGTCGATGTTCCGATATTGTCAAATATTGCCTCCACTATGCCTCCAAGAGGCCTGCAGACCGCCACAAGTCGGCCCTAGGTGGCCACGGAGCTTCCACAGGATGGCCTTGATAGGCCATCACACATAAAACAGCTCAGGTGTTGTAGTTATTTTTGCCCTGATCGTTTTCTGGTTTCCAGTCGGCTCTGAAGGTTTCATCATGACCCGACTGTCGCCCAGCACAGGCCCCAGAGCGGCCAACGAGGGGCCCAAAACGGGCCAGGATGCCCCCGTGAGGACCCCAAAGCGGCCCCGGAGGGCCCTAGAAGAGTTCCGAAGGGCGAGAAAACAAACAAGACCACCTGCACTTGACGCCACGCTGGTCGCAAGACGGCCCTGGGAGGCTTTTTTTGACTCGAAATCCCAACAGCAGAGCCCAGCAGGGCCTCAAGAGAGCCCAAAGAAAGTCCCATGAGAACCCAAGCAAATCTGCAGCAGCGTCCCAAGAAGCCCTTTTGCAACCCTGAAGTGCGAGGCTTCGCGAATGATGACGACAATGATGACGATACTGACGACAACGATGACGATAATGACGACAATGATGACGATAATGGCGATAATGACGATGACAATGACGTCAACGACGTTCATGATGACGATAATGACGACAGTCATATCAATAATGACGATGCTGACGACAATGCTGACGATAATGACGACAATGATGACGATACTGACGACAAGAATGACAATACTGACGATGATGACGACAATGATGACGATAATGACGATAATGGCGACAATGATTAGATAACTCCCAACAAGCGTTTTGTTGCTGTTGAACTTTCATTTCTGAGAATAATTATTGTTGATCCCCCCCGTCCGGTGCACATTGTTTTTCGATTGAAGTGCCCTTCCCGGGGCTCGCACCCGGTTTTATCAGGGAAAATCTTGAGGGTCAAATTGTGCCGTTGGCCCCCGGTTTACAACAACAGCAACAACAATAACAACAACAACGGCTACCGCCTGATACTTCCTCACAATTTATTGAAGAATCGCGCTCTCGCTTGGGACTTCCTTGAAATTTACCACGGGATCGCGGCTCCCGCTTCATTCTTCCTCACAATTTATTGAAGAATCGCGTTCTCGCTTGGGACTTTCTTGCAAGTTACAACCGAATCGCGGCTCCCGCTGGATACTTCCTCACAATGTATTCAGATGCGGCTCCTCGACACTCAGGAATCGCGCTCCCGCTACATATTTCCTGGCGGTTCAAGCAGAATTTACACTTCAACGACCCGCCCGCTCGACCCGCCCGCCTGGGCCTGCCCGCCCGACCAGCCCGTTATGGACTGCAGTCGCCGCTCGCTGCCCTTCGCCCGCCTTCGATGCCCCTCGCTGCCCGTACTGGTTCCGCGGTCGCCTTCGCTCGCTGCCTTTCGTGGCCCCGTTGCTGCCCTCAGTGGCTCCGTCGCTGCCCATTGTGGCCCCGCATTGTATGCCCTTTGTGGCCCCCGCTCGCAGTCGCCCGTCGTGGCCCCATACGCATGCCCTTTGAAGCCCCGCTGTCGCCCTTCGTGGCCCCTTTGCTGCCCTCAATGGCCTCGCTGTCGCCCTTTGTGGCCCCATACACGAATGCCATTCGTGGCCCCGCTCGTTCGCACCCGTCGTGGCCCCATATGCATGCCCTTCGTGGCCCCGCTGTCGCCCTTCGTGGCCCCCTCTCTGCCCCTCGTGGCCCCGTTTCTGCCCTCAGCGGCCCCGTTGCTGCCCTCCGTGGCCCCGGATTAATTGCCCTTCGTGGCCCCCGCTCGTTCGCGCTCTTCGTGGTCCCATACGCATGCGTTTCGTCGCCCCGCTGTCGCCATTCGTGGCCCCCTCGCTGCCCTTCGTGGCCCACTTTCTGCGCTCAGTGGCCCCGCTGTCGCCCTTCCTGGCTCCATATATGTATGCCCTTCGTGGCCCCCGCTCGTTCGCGCCCGTCGTGGCCCCAAATGCATGCCCTTCGTGGCCCCGCTATCGCTCTTCGTGGCCCCCTCTCTGCCCTTCGTGGCCCCGTTTCTGCCCTCAGCGGCTCCGTCGCTGCCCTCTGCGGCCCCCTATACGTATGCCCTTCGGTCTCCCCCGTTATCTGCTACCCTTCGTTTGCAAGGGCTTCACCAACGACACGTGGTGGGGAATGAATATACCCCCCAAACGGAGGTGCGATCGAAGACGAAGAGGGCGGGTTTCCAGGGTTTGGGATATGCATATTGAATGACACGCGAGCAGATAAGAGCGAAGAGTTGTTAAATTATTATTATAGTTCTTGCTGTTTTGTTTGTTGTTGTTGTTGAACTCTCACTTCTGAAGAATAAGTATTGTTGCTCCCCCCCACCATTGCATCAAAGCGTGGTCCTCCAGCCTCGTACCCTGTTTTTTTGGCAGGGGAAGACTGTGTGCTCAAACTGTGCCCCTGGTCCCCCAGATTGCAATAATAACGGCTCCCGCCTGAGACACCCTCCAACATCACTCAGGACCACCGCTCCTGAGACTTCCTCGCGATTTACTCAGGATCGGTGCTACCGCCTGCGACTCCCTCGCAATTTAGTCAGGACCCTCGCTCCTATCTGACACTCCCTCACACTGTGCTCAGAAACGGCGCTCCCGCTTGAGACTTCCTTGCAATTGAAACAAGACTTCCTTGCAATCTATTCAAGACCCCCGCTCCCGCCAGAGAGCCCTTCACATTTTATTCATGAATTGCGCTCTCGCCTGTGACTTCCATGCAGTGAATTCAGACGTCGCGCTTTCGACGCTCAGGAAACAAGCTGCGCCAAGGACGCCGCTACAATGAACTTAGTAATCGCGCTCTCGCCATACTCAGGCATCCTGCTTGAATGCCCCACCCGCCCGACCCGCCCGTCAGGGGATCGCCCGCCCGTCGTGGGCT